ATCACAAGAAAGTAGAATATTGATAGAGTTAAAAATTGTATTGAGCATTACTTTGACGAGAAACTGCCAGAAATCCAAGCTGCAGTCAAAAGTATAGAATGAGCATATTATTACTGATGATTCTAAGAATCTTGATTGAAGGCAGAGAATATTGAGAAGATGTTTACTTGTGTCTTATTGACAGTAGAAGGCATTTGACTATGTTTTTCATAACAAATTATATATAACAATGTGAAGACAGGCAATTCCAGTACACTTAATAATGTTTATGTAGAATAGTGCTTAGACCAAGAAGCAATAATTTAAACAGAACAAGAGAATAATACTTGGTTCAAAGATGTGTGTAAGGCTGAGTCTTTTCAACATATATATTAAATTTATAGGATGAACAAATTATCTGAGAATGTAGACTATTTGAAGTAGAATGCAGCAACAGAATTGGAGGAAGACTTGTTAACAACCTGTGATGTGGAGATGATACAACCTTTCTTACTGAAAGCAAAGAGGCCATGGGGCATTTATTGATAAACATCAAAGACTGTGGCCTTAAATATGGATTATACTGTAGCATAAATTCATTGCCATTGAGTTGGCACTGAATCCTAGCTGACCCTTCATTAGGATTCCAAGGCATAATTTGCATGGGAGGAGATTATCTTTCTTTCTTGAAATTGAACTACTAGAGAGATGTGGTCATTAGGCTATCAGTATAATTTTCTGTAGACTAGGCCAGGTGTTAGTTGTGGAACAGACCGCCAACTATTCTTATGCAAGTTCAAACTGAAGTTAAGTAAGGAAAATGAAATCTAATCCACAGGAACCAAACTATGACCTTGACTCTCTGCCACTTGAACTTAAAAAACCATCTAAGGAACAGGTTTGAGACCTTGAACACTAATGAGTGAAGACGAGATGAGTTATGGAAGGATATCAAGAATATCATCCAGGAAGAAGGCAGAGGGTCATTACAAAGACAGAGGAGGAAGAAAAGACCAAGATGAATGTCAGAAGAGACTCCGAATATTGCCCTAGAGCGCCAAGAATCCCAGCAGAGGGAAGACATCAAGATATTAAGGAGCTAAACAGAAGATTTCAAAGGGCAGCGTGGGAAGACAAAGTATTATAATGAAATGTGTAAAGATCTGGAGTCAGAAAATTAAAGGGATGGAACATGTTCAGCGTTTCTTAAGCTCAAGGAACTAGAAAACAAATTCAAGCCTTGCGTGGCAATACCTAAGGATGCTTTGGGCAAAATATTAAATGATGCAGGAAGTATTAAAAGAAGGTGTAAAGAGTATACAGAGTCATTGTACCAAAAAGAATTGGCAGACACAGAAGAATTTTATGAAACAATGTATGAGGAAGAGTCCATGGTGATGAAGGAGGAAGTTCAAGCTGCTCTGAAAGAACTGGCAAAACCAAGGCCCCAGGAATAGATGGTTTACCAACTGTTATATTTCAACTAATGGATGCTGCTCTGGATGTGCTCACCAAGTTGTACCAAGAAATCTGGAAGACAACCAGCTGTCCTACTGACTGGAAGAGATCTATATTTGTTCCCATTCCAAAGAAAGGTGATCCAACAGAGTGTGGAAATTATTGAACAATATCATAAATATCACAAGCAAGCAAGAATCTGCTGAAGGTTATTAAAAAATGACTGAAACAGCACATCAATAGAGAACTTCCAGAAGTGCAGTCTGGGTTTAGAAGGGGTCGTGGTACTAGGGATATTGTAGCCAATGTTAGATGTTTCTTAGCTGAAAGCAGAGAGCACCAGAGGAATGTCTAGCTGTGTTTCATTGACTATGAAAAGGCTTTTGACTGTGTGGACATCAGCACACTGTGACTGACTCTGAGAAGGATGGGAATCCCAGAACCCTTGATAGTGCTAACGTGAAACCTATACTTGGACCAGGAGGCAGTTGTCAGAACAGAGCAAGGAAACACTGCATGGTTCTAAATTGGAAGCTTGTCCACCAGGGATGTGTCCTATCTCCACATCTTTTCAATCTGTATGTGGAACAGATTATCCAGGAGGCTGGGTTCTATGAGGAGAAGGGTGGTATCAGGGCTGGAGTAAGACTCATCAACAGTCTGCGTTATGCAGCTGACACAACCCTGCTTGCTGAAACTAAGGAGGACCTGAAGCACTTGCTGCAGAAGGTCAAGGACTGCAGCCTTCAAAATGGATAGAGTCTCAACATCTAGAAAACAAGGATTTTCACCACTGGGCTGATTGGCAGCATCATGGTAGGTGGTGAAGAGATTGAGATTGTTAACAGCTTTAATTAGCTTGGCTCCATAGTCAACACTCTTGGCACCAGCAGCCAGGAAATTAAGACTTTTTGCATTGGGAAAATTTGTCAGAGACCTCTCCAAGGTACTGAAGAGCAATGATGTCAGTCTGGGGACTAAGGTGCCCCTGATCTAGGCCATGGTCTTTGCAATGACTTGCTATGCATTAGAAAGCTGGACAATGACTAGGGAGGATAAAAGGAGAATTGATGCCTTTGAGCTGTGGTGTTGATGAAGAGTATTGAATATACCATGGACTGCTAAGAGAATGAACAGTTTCGTCCTGGAGAAGTTTAAGCCATTCAATGTCCATGGAAGCAGCTGTCAAGAAAGCAAATGACGTACTCCAGTGGGAAAATATGCTGCAAAGACCTCCTAAAATTTCTAAAGAGCAAGATGTCACTTTGAGAACTAAAGGGGGCCTGATTCACGTGATTCAACAACACATAATAACAACACCAACTTATGCACATGAAAGTTAGGCAATAGTCTACGGCCATAAAAAAAAAATATATAAAAAAAAAAAAGAAAGTTAGGCAATAAATAATGAAGAGTGAAGAAGAATTATGCCTTTGATTGTGTTGATAAATAGGAGTATTCCATGGACTATCTGATATTTCTCTTGGTAGAAATGCAACCAGCAAAGATGGTATAATTTCACTTTATGGATGTCCCTGGAGAAGAACATTGTGCTTGATAAAGGGTCAATCCAAAAAGAGAAAAACCTCTCAATGAGATGTATTAAAATAGTGGGAGCTACAATGGGTTTTGATAAGGAGGTGATTGTGAAGATGGTTCAGGAATGGACAGTGTAGTTACGTGTAACTGATGTTATATGCATGGCCTTGGTGTGTTGGAACCATGTGGAGTGGACCAGGCAATAACAAACAATAATGTTATGTAAATACTCCAAGTGTAGCTAACTTCTTTAGAAGTTTAACAACTGAGTCTTCCAATCCAGGAAGACCTCGCCATGGGCTCTTCAGTAGGATCTGTGCAAGTGATCTCAGCACACAACTGACAGTTTCCTAATAATTTAAATGTAATTCTGAAGTTGCATCTCATAATTTATTATTTATATTGTATATAAAGTAGAAGACACGTTAATAAACCACATCTTGAGGGAAGTAATTTTGAAGATCACTGTTAACTGTTTATACCGAACTAGTTTGCGTCATTCCCAGCTCATAGCTTTTAAAATCCCAAAATACCTGTCATTAAACAATAGAGCAAAAGAAAACTCACTTCAGTTCTTTCTCACATAATTAGGAAAAGTATGTGGGTAGAAAGTGAGTCAAAGGGAGAATTCAGTGAAGGAAATAAGGAGGGTTTTTTTTTGTGAGAACATTTGATAAAACAAGGGAGAAACGGTATATGGGAAACTGGAAAGCAAACAACAGATCAATAGATTTTATTTTTTTTTTAATCTTCTAAACTGTATTTGGAACAGACAAAACATTTGGAACTGACAAAATCTCCCTAGAGATCTTGCCCTGAGCACAGAGGCTGTCTCCACCATAAAGTTTCACATTAACTGTGCAGAAAAAAAGAAATAAGTGCACGTTGGCACTAGAATGGGTAGTTCTTTAGCTGTTCAAGATTTTTAAAAAGCTTTCTTAACCATCAGGTCAGAACTCATGGATGACCTCTCACCGGCTTCCCACGGTTGTAAATGGCATGAGAAGAGACTGTCTGTCTCCTTTAGACTTGTTATGGATAGAAACTACTAGAGAGGCATGAGCTTCGCATGAGAGGCACATATGATGCCAAAGTGGACATTGACACAGAAAACTAGAAATTGTGTCGTATTGGTTGTATCAGTTTGAATGAAAGTAAAAGTGGTTAGACTTAACTCTGCTGTTTTCTATCTACATTATTAAGTTTGAGCAACTTTTGGGAATATATTAAAAAAGAAAAAATAATCATGTAATAAACAAGGAAACCCGTGACTCTTGAGTCATCTCGTGGCATTGAACCACCGATATTTACTTTAGTAACTGAATGCAAATCTTTGCATCACTGAGGGACTGAGTCTTTCTTAAAAAAAGAGAATCTGTTTATGGTGCCAGTTTTCTAGCACTGTTCATTGTATCCTATGCGTAAATTGCTGCTTCTAAATTCATGCTAATAATTATTTGCAAGTGTTCTAGAGATAACCTAGGCCTTCTATATGCATTATTTCCAATTTCTTTTTAAAAGCTAGAGAAAGTATTTAGAGAAAGTCCAGAAAGCACCCACATTTTTAAGCTAAATTCTTGAGAAAAAGGTGTGAACATCTATGAGCAAGAGGCTGATAGAAATGCCTAGATGGTGGCTGTTAGGATCCTGTCTCTGTGACTGAATTTCTTCCCCAGAACTGGAGAAAGAGAGAAGTGGGATTGTATCATTACAACTAGGACCAGCCGCATATGCAAGGGAAAGAGGTCAAATTCATTTTTAATCTCCTGTGGAAGTTTTCCCATCATTGCCAGTGACCTCACGGCTGGAAAGTTAGAATTTTGCTAAGAGCTATGAACAAGGAATAGCTTTAATTAAAGAGAAAGATAGTCAATAACTGTTGGTTTGACGTTTATAAGACAATAATTCTGGTAAAATCATATTCCATGAGAGAAATGGAGAGTTCTATTATGCTATTACCAGAAGCTGAGAATAAAATTAATTTAAGTTGAGATAAATCTTCACGAAAGTTATAACAAACATACCGGGCGGCTTCTGAGTATCTCTCCAGACATCTAAACACTGTTGCCTGACGAAGATGATTTCGGAAATAGGATGGGTTTAAAACAATGCTCCTGTTAAAAGAGAAAAGACATGCAAGTGTTATTAGGTTTTTGAAATACAATTACCAGAAGTGTATAGGAATGAAATCACACGCATTCATATTTGATCTACTACATTTTTTTAAACAAGACAAATGAACAAAACCTTTTTCTTCCTGTAATTTTGTCAATGAAGAAAAAAGCAAATAAGACTTATTGAAAAACTAATTAAGTTTACAACTTAAAAGTGATTTGCCCCTATAGCATTGATATTTTTTACAGATAAAGAATGAAAATAATTTGAACCCAAGTTCTATTATGTACAAATCATTCATTTACTCACTCTTTTCCATCAAGTTAGAGTAAATGTATCTTACCCTCCACTGAGTGTCTAGGCCTGTGGATTGCTCTGGATGAGATCACCCAGCTTTCTCCCTGGGAATTCCTAGTGCATTTGAACTATCAGAGAGGGAGTGGTCTTTGTGTTAGTAGTGCAACTCCCTATAAACTAGACTACTAGGACAGTTATGTTTATAGATCAGGCAAAAATGTCACACTATTTATGATATATTGCTGGTAGCAAAGGATGAAGTGTTTAGTTGCTGAATTTTACCTTGAAGTAAGGAAATTGACTGCGGTATTCTTTTGGAAGGCGCTATTAGGTTGGTGCCTAACTGTGGGTGGATGTTGTAGTGGAGTTTGGTAAATGTGTTAATCACTAAATGTCACTTTGGCGTAAGTCCCTTTCTCATTTTGGGTCTCTATTTTTCTTGATGAAAATGATAAGCCTGTATTAAACTTTTCCAAGATTTGTTTTCCAGTTCTAAGATTCTATGATTGTTGGCAGGATTAGTATATTTATGAGTTTGGATTTATGTTCTAATTTTCTTTGCAATTGGAGCACATCTTGCTGTCTCTTCTGGGAGAGCAGCACTGCTTGTCTTAATGATGGCTGCTTTATCCTTCTGAAGCTCTTTCTCCTCCTCCTCATCTTGCCCATGCTGAAGCTTCAAGTCAAACCCAATTGAGAAGATGATGGTAACTCCCTTGTGACCTTCTTTATAAATTGGTAGACGTGTCGTGTCCGTTCTTCCTCCTTCCTTCCTCCCTCTCTCACCTTCCCTCCCTCCCTCCCTCCCTTGTACTATTTAGCTTGGCACTGCTCACAGCTTTGAGATAATGAAGTGAACTAGGTATCGTTCATGTCTCTTTACTTCATGAGAAGACTATTTGTGAGAGTCTGAAACGTAGCTTATACCGACAGAATATCTGTTGATTTTGTTATGTACTATTGAGTCATAGCTCACTCACAGCAGACCTTCCAGGGCTGTTTCCCAGGCTGTATATCACATGGGAAGAGACTATATATCTTTCTTTTGTAAAGCAACTGATGGACTCAAAGTACATGTCTTTGAATTGACAGCACAACTCCTTACTAGTAATAGAATATATTTGTAATAGAATATATAGTGGGTGTTATTGGTGTAAAGAACACTGGCGATGGAGGGGCCTATACTGTGCTGTTAAACTGAAAGCTGAATGGTTAGAGGCTTGGACATGGCTTGTGTCTGCCAGTGGATTCCTTGGTGGAGAGATAGACCATCTCTCTCATTACGATTTACAGCCTAGGACAACTTACTGTGTGTTACTGATGTGGGGTCCAGTGAACTTCTCTTCACAAGTTGATAAGAATGACTTGACATTAGCTCATTATTGAAGTTAATAGTTCTTAACCTTTTTTTGAGGAGTTCACAGGGCTTTTAGAGAATCACGTGAAAGCTATGCATTCTGTTCTGAAAAAATGCACCGAAAAGAATTGCTCAAATAGGAGACTCTTGTGACATTTCCGGGATATTTGTGAACTCGAGATTAAACAACAAAGCAAATGGATGAAAAGAATTCCATTCTCAGAAAAGATGTACATGAGGAGAAGAAAATGGAAACAGGCTAGCTATTTGAGCCATGAGGAAATAAAAAATTCTAGATATAAAATGATTAATTATATCATTTAGTTCAATTCCTGAGCTTTAGATATGTAACAGAAACTAGGGAGGTTTAAGAGGATTTTCTGAAATCGTACACAACTAATTAGTTAAAGAAACTAAAATGTGTCAAGTTTCCTATCTCCAGCCTTAGGGTTGTGTATTAAATCTTAAAAAAAACCACAACAGACCAACCAAACCAAAAACCTGCTGCCCAGTCAATTCCAATCCGTACGTGTAAGGGTAGAACAGTGCTCTGCTCTGTAGAATTTTCAATAACTGTGGTTTTTCAGGAATAGAACACCAGACATGGTTTTCTGAGAAGCCTCTGAGTGGATTAGAACTGTCAATAACCCGAGAGTTGTCAAACTCTTTACTGTGCCCTCCACCTATGAGTTCCCTCTTGCTCCCTCTCCAATGATGATTTCTGAGAAAGGTTTGAGTTAATGAGGCTTTACTGTACTCTTTGTAAAAGGATTTTTACAAATAATTATATTAATCTTCCAAGAACACAGATCATTTGTTTCTGTGATTTCTGATTAAAGTATTAGAAATTTAAGATCTATCATCTGGGTTAATTTCATATCTAGCAGTTGCCTTCAGAAGACAGTCTGTGTACAAAGCATGCTTTTTTATTTCATCCTTCTGAAACTAATTAGCCATGTAAAGGTAGATCAAATTGATTAAGATCAGGGTCTGGATCTTCCAACTCTAGGGCCTATAATTTTTTTTCTAACTACTTCAGAGTTAATCTCTCCACTTACTCTGTAATCACTTCTTTCTTTGTTCTCCTTCATAGCTAATTCTCCCCACTTATTCTGTAACCACTTTATTTTGCATGTTTGTGCCTAACACTGTGATGTGACAAAGCCCTTACTGAAAGGTGTTTGTGGTTTTTCTTGCCCATAATGTAGTATCCTCTCTCTCTCTCTGAGCTACTCTCCAAGGAGAATCCCGCTTTGCTAGTCAAACTCTTTTAGCAAAAAACAGATTGGACTGGAGAGAATGATGAGAAGGAACGGGCAGGAGAAGTGGTGAGAGAAGATTTTAACAAATAAGTTGAGTAATTTTTTTACTAATCAGAAAATAGTTTAATTAGATAGAGGGTAATCATCAGATTACAGAAAATGATATGCAAATGTATACCTCCCTGGTATAAGGTCAAGAAAAGAAATAGTGGGCTGAGTCCTGGGCTGTCCCCACAGTCTGGCCCAGTGGTCACTGAGTCCATAGCCCTGAGATGACAGAGAAGACCAGGGGTGTGTCATTGAATCGTGGGTTATCCCTACACCCTGGTGAAGTGGCCACTGAGTTTGGAGCCCTAAGGATGATGGGGAGGACTGGGGATGTTCCCTGAGTCATGGCCCATCTAGTGGGCACCGATCCACACCCCAAAGAAGACAGTGAGGTCCAGGAGTGTCACTGACTCATAGGCCATACACACACCCTGGTCCAATTGCCACCACGTCAACAGCCCTTAGGAAGGGTGAGATCCAGGAGTGTTGCAGAGATGTATGCCAACCCCACCACCTGTCCCAGAGGGCACTAAAGTCCATAGCTTGAGAATGATGGCTAGGACCAGGGGTGTCGCGGAGTCCTCCTCATCTATCTATATAATTGAACATACTCCTGAGCCCAGCAAAGTGCTGAGTTCACAGCCCAGAGGAAGGCAGTGAGGGGCAGGGATGTCACTGAGTTGTTGGCTTTCCCAACCCCGAGTCCTGGCGGGGTTACCAAGAGCAAACTGTGCAGGTTGGCTTTGTTCCAAGCAGCCCCTCCAGCCTTTATGGGGGGCGCCACCCCACCTTTGAGTGCACGTCCACCCTGTCCCTGGTGGTAGGAGCTCTGTGAGGGGTGACTCAGAGTTCATGTGTCCAGTAGCGACAATTTCCTAGAGTTGGTCGACCAGCTCTGTGATGGACAGTCACTTTTCTGGTTTGACCTTCGGTGTGGAATAAATGAGGTCATGAAATATGATGGACCTAGAATGTTTCAGAAAAACTGAGTATTTCCCAAAGTGAATTGAAGTTTTGTTTTGATTTTTTTACAAGTGTGTCCTTTTGTTACTTTTTATAATTAGTTTATTTACAGTAGTTTTTTTACATGGTATTTCTTTCATCTACATGGGGGGGGTAGACCCCAAGATTTCCCATCCCAGTGTCCTTGACCCTCCTCTTCCCTCTTGGGATCGTTATGCACATTTTACTTACTAGTTATCCTTCTCTTAGTACAGTAAGAGTCTTATGCACCATAGCTAGTTCATTCAGCATAATGGTCTCTAGCCTCTCCCGTGTTATACGGTATTTTTCAAAACCATTGCTCTTGAGTGCTGCGTACTATTCTGTTGTGTGAATGGCAACTGTTGACGGACGTTTGGGCTCTTTCCATGTTCATGCTATTGTGAATAATGCTGCTATGAATATCTGTGTGCAAACCTCCATTTGTGTTGCAGTTCTGTTTTCCTTGGGGTATATTCTTAGCAGTGGAATAGCTGGGTCATATGGAATCTCTAAGTTCAGCTTTTTGAGGAAATGCCAAACTATCTTCCAGAGTGGCTGTACCATTTTACAATTCCACCAACAGTGTATGAGAGTTCTAATCTCGCCACACCTTCTCCAACATTTATTGCTTGATGTCCTGTTAAGTTTTGTCACTGCAGTTGGTGTGAGATGATATCTTATTGTGGTATTGATCGCATCTCTCTTATTGCCAATGCTTTTGAGCATTTCTTCATGTGTCTGTTGGCCATTAGAATGTCTTCCTCTGTGAAAGGTCTTTCCATGTCTTTTGCCTATTTTGTAATTGGGTTATCAATCTTTTCCTTGTGGAGGCCTTGTAGCATTCTGTACATTTTCGTATGAGACTGTCATCTGAAATTACATTGCCAAATGTTTTTTCTGTTTAGTAAGTTTTCTTTTTACCCTATTGGGGAAAAGGTTTTGATGCACCCAGGGACTTAATCTTTAGAAGGTCCCACTCATCAATATTATCTTCTCCAGGTTGTGCATTTTTGGCTGTGTTTTCCAGCCTCTTTGTATTATAGGCTAGACC